CAGAATAGGAAGTTATACCAGAAGCGTAACTCTAGTCGTTCCCTTATTGTTTGACGTCCACGAAAATTTTAACTCGCTCACGTCAGGCCACGCCATCCTGGCTAGTACAGCCGGAAGTTTTTATCAGGATTTGGTAGGTACAAAGTGCCGGTTGTACTAGCCAGGATGGCGTGATTGATGACGAATCGCTTGTAAAAACGCGGACAAATATTTGCTCGAGTTACGCTTCTGGTATAACTTCCTATTCTGTGACCCCGGTTTGTTTTTGACGCCATCTTGTTTTCTTTTTCAAGGAATACGCACAGTCACAGAATAGATACACAACCAGAAGTGTCACTCAGACGATATTTTGTCCGAAATTTTACGAGTGCTGACGTGAAAATACGCCATCATATGACGCCATCCTGGAGTGCACACGGAAGTTTTTCATAGGAAAACATAGGTACAAAGTGCCGGGTGCACTCCAGGATGGCGTCATAGCACGCAAAAAAATTTCGGACGTTTTCCTTCAGCCAAAACACATAGGAGTGACACTTCTGGTCCGGTATCTATTCTGTGATATTATTAGCACTGATGAAGATCCGGGCTTACGGATCGAAAGCTTTGCAGTAATAAATTTACGTAGTGTTTCCACAAACAAAAGCAATTAAAATTGCTTTATGTTTTATGAAACGTTATTTTTACCGGTTTTCTCAATTTGACGAAAATATTAATTCGCTCCAACCGTTAATGTCTCGGCAAGGCCAAAACGCATCAAACCTGTTTGTTTGGACCTGAAGTTGTCCAATGATAACGCTTGCTGCATAACTCGAAAAAACATCTGTATTTGCGGTGCCCACACAAACGCTTGAAGACAACGGCCAAGGACGCTAAATTTTGGCAAGGCAATTTCGTTCAGTTCATACTTTATAACTTGGTTCAGTTTTAAGTCTACTGAAATGTCGCGGCGTGCTTTAAAACAGAACGATGTCCTAGGCATATCAAAGCTGTATGAAGCTGAGTTTAATAGACCGGACTTGCATGACAGAGTTTTAGTGTTTGATGTTGTTGGAAAAGCTTCGTGGCAGCAGATACTAAGTGTCGAAAACGAGAGAAGTGAAAGCGAAGCGAACACTCAAAGCGAAGTTGAAAGCGAAGATGAATCTTCTGTTCAAACTGAGAAGGAAGCAATGAATGCGGCGTCAGAGCACGCAGACGAGTGCGACTTGTTTTGCGGTATGCAATGGCAATGCGATTTTATTTATGCGTTCTGGATTAAAGTAAAGAAAGTCGAACCTGTTTCTATACTTTTCGCAACGAAGTGCGAGATGTTTTAGCGTCTACAGCGCAGTAAAAACATACCACCGCAACTTGCCTAACAATATTTTGGAAAAGCAAGAAATCACGAAACAGACAAAACTGTAAGTCTGTAATTCAGGAAAAGCGAGACTCCAATAATCACTGATAACAACAACAACTATGTTTTGTTCAATTATTGTTTCATTTGTAATTGAGCGATTCGATAGAATTTGCTCCTTCATACTAATTTCATGCCCTGACAAAAAGAATGACGCTTAACAGATAGGAACAGATAGGACTCCTCAGTGACTCAAGATTAAATCCATTGAAATGCAATTCCCGGAATATAGAAATCGGATCTGTACCACAGATTTGCATACTCTGCAGAGTGTAACAGTATTTGTCCTTTTTCACTCTTCGATTGGCTGGCTTAAATATAACCATCGAATAAGCTTAAGCCAAGTATAGTTGTCGTCTACAGCTATTACACAGACAACGTGAATACCAGCTTAAATCTGGCCGAGACATTAATTTGTTTAAGTGAAAGGCAAGATGACTATATTCAATCAGACAATATCACGTGCAGTAAAATTGAACGATGTGTTAGAATTACTGAAGTTGTTCGAAGCCGAGTTTAACAAGCCTGATCTGCATGACAGAGTTTTAATATTTGATGTTGTCGCTTCACGGCCACGTAGACTTCGCGTAGCAACTGTTGAAGAAAATGAAAGAAATGAGAACGGAGCTAGCAGTCAAAGCAAAGATGAAAGCGATGATGAAACAACCAAAGCTAAAAACGTGGAGATAGGTGTGAATGCAAACGATGAAAGTGAAACCGAAAGCAACGATTGTGAAATCGCTTCAAAATATGTAAATGGTTAGTATTTTAAACTTATTTATATAATCATGGAATCTAAAGTATGTATCGTATAAACACAGTGAGAAGGGAGATAATTGAGAAGCATTGGTGAGGGGGGTGATAAGGCTAAATAGAGAAAGGGGGTTAATAGTGGCGGAGGGCTTAACAGGGGGTCTATTATAGGGGGTACGCATCTCCGAAAACCGCGCTGTTTTTCAAATTTTAACCGCAAACCACGCACTCATTTCTCTTTTAAACGTAACCGCGTTCAAACCGAGGCATATGTGGTAACATATATTTCGAAACATATTCCGAAACATATTCCGCAACATAATGTGAGGCAATATAGACCATATAGTCAGTACGTATAGTCGCCATTTCTATTGGAGTATTGAAGAGGGAGCCGTTCGCAAGTTTCACGCGAACTTGGTAGTATAAAGTACAGTATAAAATTTGGCAATTATGCAATTGGCAAAGCAAACGAAGTCTTAGCAGTTCAAATAGCTATAAAAAGGTTTTCCCTCGATCGCTGCTTATGTTTTGTGTGAGAAACAATCAAGTTGCTTTGAATTCGTCTTTTCGGGCAAATATTTATTACTTTGAGGCCCTGTTGAACAACACATACGTGCGATCGGAAGATGAATGCATGAACTGAATTATTGCCATGAGCTCGTAAAATATTCAGTCTTAACCGCATGTCTCTGACCGCATGTTAAAAACTATCCGAAAACCGCTATTTATTTTGGTCAATAACCGAATCCGGAGGGTTAATTTCGACATTTTCCGTCTCCGCACGATTTCCAGTTAACCGCAAACCGTACAAAATAACTGAATATAACCGAAATCCGACCTCAAAATATGGCTAAAACCGCATAACCGCAAAACTATAATAGGCCCCCTTAACAGAGCCGGAGTGGATGTGTTTGGCGAAATATTTATAAGATATTATAAATAATACAAATATTATAAATATTTCGCCAAACACAAGTGTGATTTTTCATTAATACCTCGAGAACAAGTGTAATTTCCTATTAATATCATTTTATAGCCAATTTTACACGAGCAATCAAAATAATACGAAACAGTGCATTAATTTAATCACGCGAGCACAGCCATAAAAGTGCCTTTTGTCAATTTTGAGACCAATTTCTGACATTAATTTTCAATTCATGCCTGTGAAAAACTGTGAATAATCTTTATTTCTACTATTTCTTTCTTCTCTTTCTTTTTTCTCTTTAATCGGGCACACTGTGTCGATTAAGTGCCGATTAATGTCTAATCGGCACGGGTTTAACCCATCAGAATCGAGTAGATTGACTAAAATGATGTTAATACAGAGTGTATATAAAAAAAACTGAACAGATTTGAAATTTCTCTCAATTTCGCAAAACACCTATTTCTATCCGGATTTTTTTATATATATATATATATATATATATATATATATATATATATATATATATATATATATATATATATATATATATATATATATATATATATA